GCGTCCCCCACGCGGCGAAGAACCAGAGGGGGAAAATCTGCGTCCTGAGCGTGGACGGCGGCGGGATGCGGAACGTCGTGTCGGGCAAGGCGCTGTCGTACCTGGAGGCGGCCCTGCAGAGGAAATCTGGGAACCCGGAGGCGCGTGTCGCCGACTACTTCGACGTCGCCGCAGGGAGCGGAGTCGGGGGCATCTTCACGGCGATGCTCTTCGCCGCGGACGGCGGGGGGCGCCCGATCTTCCGCGCCGACGACACGTGGAAGTTCCTCGCAGCGGAGGGAAGGGGGTTCTACCGCCCCCCCGCCAGGCCGCGCAGGCGCGGCCTCCTCAGCCGCATCTTCGGCGGAGGCGGCGCAGCCGCCGCCGCGGGCGGCTCCGTGCTGGAGAAGGCGATGAGGGAGGCGTTCAGGGACGGGGGGACCGGGCGGACCCTGACGCTGAAGGACACGCTGAAGCCGGTGCTGATACCGTGCTACGACCTGTCCAGCTCGGCGCCGTTTCTTTTCTCGCGGGCCGACGCGCTGGAGACGGACAGCTTCGATTTCAACCTGTGGGAGGTCTGCCTGGCGACCGCGGCCGAACCGGGCCTGTTCGAGCCGGTCTGCATGAAGTCGGTCGACGGGTCGACTCGGTGCGTAGGGGTCGACGGCGGCCTGGCTATGAACAACCCGACGGCGGCCGCGATCACGCACGTGCTGCACAACAAGCAGGAGTTCCCGTTCGTGAGGGGGGTCGAGGACATTTTGGTACTCTCGATCGGGGCCGGCGGGCAGCTGCTGGAGGGCAGCTTCGAGTACGAGGAGGTGAGGAAGTGGAAGGCTCGGGATTGGGCTCGGCCGCTTGCTCGGATCTCCGGCGAGGGCTCGACGGAGATGGTGGACCACGCGGTGGCGATGGCGTTTGGGCAGAACCGGGCAAGTAATTACGTTCGGATTCAGGTACAAGTTTTGATGAAGAACACATTAATTACATCATATAAACTTGTTTCCTTACAAAAAAAAAAAATAATCTTTTCTTTTTATTAAATGCAGTTCAAAATTCTTTTCATTGAAGATTATTTTTTTTTTACTTTTATTTTTTTAATTTTTCTTTTTTGGGGGGGTTGAGTAGGTGGGTTCATGGGCAGGTGGATTTTGGGGGCATGCAATTTAATTCTTTGTGTTTATTTTGGAGGAAAAAAAGAAGGGGCCATAGAGAAGACAAACTTTGGCAGCCTAAAAATGCCAACCCACAATTTGGAGTGTTTGGACATTGACATGGGTTGCTGTAACTGTGTGTTCTGTGTGTTCTCTCTCTCTTTCTCTGTGTGTGTGTGTGTGAATTTGTGACAGTAATTACTCATTTATTCTGTTTTGAAATTCTCTTCATCATCTTTATTGTGCTTTTGTGCTTCCTCCACCTTCACTTCTTCCTAGATGTTCAGAAAAATAGTTCCTTTCCTTTTCTTTTTATTTTCCTACGGTTTTGCTATGGAGCTATCGGATGGCTCGGCTTATGGAGCCATCCATTGTTATATATCTATCTCTTTGCCCCTTCTTAAAAGCCTAAAAAGAGGAGGTTATTTTCATATTGAATGCTTTTAGGTGCAGAAAGAGTGTTTTTCTTTTGAGCTTTTAACTGCTTTATTAATGAATGTGTCCTATTTTCTTGTTGTAAATCTTGACATAACTGATGCTTGGTGTTGACCACAGACTTTCAAATCACATGTCTGACTGCTGTTAAAATGTAGTTTTCACAGTGCCCACATCCATTTTTAACCCTTAAAACCTGTTGAAACTAAAAGGGGGTTCTTGAATTTTTCAGGTCCCTCCCTGTTCTTACTGTCATTTCTAAGAAGAGTTAAAAAAACTCTGAGAAAAATAAAAAAAAATAAAAAAAAAAATTGGATAAAATTGTACACAGCTTGCAAATT